AATGTATCCAAAATGTCTGTCTTTTGTGGGATTTGCTTAAATTCTGCATGTGTCAGAATCTCACGGTTTGTGCTGTGTTAGCATCAGCTTGCTGTTCGTGATACATAAAACAAATAAGTACGCTATTTGAATCGCAGGGCGTGATCGCGTGATTTGGCGTACGTTGGGGCTCATCGAGTTGGACGACTCCGTGAAATTCTACTTGCTTGTTGATCGCTGCGCGTAGGAGACATATAGCCTCTCAAAAACGTCTTCATCAAGGCACTATAGTGTAGTGGTTATCACTCGGGATTTTGACTTTGTGCAATCTTCCCGAAACCCAGGTTCGAACCCTGGTAGCGCCTTGTGCCTAACAATCCTTCAGTTTTGTTTTACCTTTGCTCGCTGGAGGGAGCGAAAGGTCCCTACCTGCAGATGTGTGCGGCATTTTCCCGCTCTAATTGTTTTTGGTTTGTTGATGCTGCTCGTCGTCCGTGTTTTGTTCTTTCGTTACTCCATGGTATGACATGCCAAAAGTCATGTATCCCACAACTGATAGATAAGTGTTCCTTTGCTCTACGATACGGCCAATAAATCAATCGCACGATGCAACCTCAATTTATGTAACGCAATACAATTTTCACTTTTCACTCTAAAGTTGCTTCTCGACATTGACGTGACTTTGACTAATTTCAATTTGGCTTGCAGAGAGGTAAATCTGATTTTTCACTTTTCGAGTTCTCAAGTTCGTAAGTAGTATCGACATCATTGACAATTGACGTGAGTTTAAGTATTCGGCTTGCGCTTGCGCAGAGGTTACTGATAATTAACGATCTACGGTTGCCCTCTGGGGTCAAGGTACCGTCAAGGTGGTCATGGCTGCTGGACGAGGGGGTGTCGCGACAACGGGCCTAGTTATGGGAGTAGCTAGAGAAGGCACCGAGGGAGTAGGTGCGAATACAGAGGGTCCCGATCCTGTATGATAGGGCCATTGTGGCCCACTGCCGCCTCCGGTGTAGTCGAAAAAGCCAGCGCCCTTGTCCACCTGTTCCTTGGGTACCAGTTGCAAGAATGTGGGGAGGGTGAGGGTTCCCGGCGTTGCAGAAGCCGTCGATCGAGTACCTCGACCCCTGCCACGTCCATGGCCTCGTACAGACATATGAGAGATAGCAAGCTCGAGGCGTTAAACAAGAGGGTGATAGAGACAGTGAATACAGAATACAACAAGAACAAGTAACCACAAAGTGCGAACAAAAAAAGAACGAAGCGCGTATAATTACGCGTCTCGCGTCAGACGTCACGCGACGTCACGCATCAAAATACGCAAACCATTTCATGGACTAAGGTTGGCTTC